CGTATGACGACCCCCAAGTCACCGCTGGGTCACCGAGAGAACTCCCCAGTATTTGACAACTACCGAAGTGCAGCTAGCCGAGAGCGCATCTGTCACAGACTTCTCGGAGCCGTGTTGAAGCTTACGGCAGGGGCATTGCGTTCAACGGTTAAGAAAGTAACACATCGGTCACGAAGATTTTTTCGTCATGGCTCGCGGCGATTCGACAGAAAGTGATGGTCCAAAGCTTGCCGCAAACACGATTTGATGGCCGACTGGCGACTGACACACAACTCAGCGGCCAACTTATCGAGTTCCTGAAGCATATCGGGAGTGAAATCGACGTTGACGCGCGTCAACGGCTGCTTCATTGTTCCCTGATTGGTAAAAAACTCGGATATGTCGCGGCCGCTGTCCGCCATATCTGCAATTTCATCGGCTGTTGGCCGGTAAATTGGGACTCTTCATTTCCTGTTACGGTCGAATTTGAAGGGCATCGTCGCATTTGCAACCGGTAGTATACCTTATTTTCATGATGTTTTCATGTCGCCTACTTTGCCACCGCAAGCACATCCAACGCACAAGCTTCCGAAGCGCGTCTCTTTAGATCGCCGGCAGTCGAAGGAACCACTACAGCATATTTCTACCCTTTGCCGGTAGGTGAAGCGCGAATGGCTTTCTCCTCCGCTACTCACTGCCTGACGCGCAGTGCTCGCCCGCAGATGGGTCGGCGTTGTGCCGCAGCAGCCGCCGATCACGTCCACGCCGAGAGCCTGCATCTGGCGTGCATAGTCGGCCATGACCTCCGGCGTGCCGTCGTAGAAAACATCCCCTCCCTGCAGAACCGGCAGCCCCGCGTTGCTCTGGGCATACAGCACGATTCCAGGGGGACGATGCGCAACCATCTCAGTCATCACCGTCTGGATCTCGGTCGGGCCGTTGCCGCAGTTGGCCCCGATTACCTGTACGCCCCAGGCGGCCAGCGTCTCCACCGCCTGTTTGGGGCTGACGCCCATCATCGTGTGCAGGTTGGTATCGAAAGTGAGCATGCAGACGATCGGCAGTTCCGTCACCTGCTCCACGGCGCGCACCGCGGCCCTCCACCTCCTGCAGATCGCTCATGGTCCTCGGTGAGATGAAGTCGGCGCCGGCCTCGGCCATGGACCGCCACCTGCTCGGCGAAGAGCTCCGTCGCCTCCTCCATCGTCATCACGCCCAGGGGATCCAGCAGTTCGCCGGTCGGCCGACCGAAGCCCCACCAGCACGTCGCCGAATTCGTCGGCGACCGCTGCGCGCCAGCTGCACGCCGGCTGCGTTGAGTTCGACCAGTCTGTCCTGCAAGTCATGCATCTTGAGCGCGGCGGTCGTACCGCCGAAGGTATTGGTCGTAATGTATGGGATCCGCCTCGACGTAGCCGCGATAGACCGCCTGCACGCCTGCGGGTTGTCGACATTCACAGTCTCGGCGCGGCGCCGCCGTGCAGGCCGACTTCCTGCAGCATCGTCGCCATGGCCCCGTCTCCCAGCAGGGGGCCGCCGTGCTGGTTTCAGCCGCTCGACCAGTGGTGGGGGCGCGTGTCAGCCATCCGCCGGAAGAAGAGTCGGGTGTTATCGTCGACAGCAGCTTCCGTAGCCGTTGGGGTGGATATGTCGGCTTCGAGCTGCGCGGCGACGGCCTGGTACCACCTCCGGGTGACGTCCCGGCCTGCTGCCTTCCATCTGTAGACGGAGGCCAGCGCGGTCCACTAGAGTCATCGGTGCCGGATTGCGCGCGGGGCGCGCATGGCGGCCTCGGTCGATCCGGACCTGTGACGAACGGGGCCGCAAGAAAGGAGGGAGCAGAAAGATTAACGAATAAAAGTAAGGGTAGTGGGCGGCATATAAAAAGTCGAATGCATCAAACCAATATGGGCACACGACTCCCTCCAGGGTATTCAGGTCGGTCAGGCTAACCATTCCCCCCTATCGTCTCCGTGTCATAACATACTTTCCCAGCAGAGAGTGATTGGACGACTAGCAAGACATCCCTTCCTGCCCATCACAGAGAGTGCTCCGTACAGTCTCTGGAGCATTTGAGTAGTACTTCTGGATGAGCAGAGCAGAAGGTACTAGCTATAGTCCTTATTATGAGTCAATTTTGCAGTATGCCGGTTTTCTTTGGCACATTGCAAGATTGGAGCATATTCAAAGGCAAACAGGAGATTGTGTTATCACTGTAAGCACAAAACTATTAGGCAGTTGGGAACTATAAAATTTTCTAGATGGATAACCAATAAAAAAACAAATTTAAATAGCGGATGCAATGGACGTCTGCTAGTGCCCCCTAACCATGTGACGATCATTTAGAGCAAAAGTATCAGCGTCCAGACTCTAGCCGGCGGCGCGCAGAGCAGATGGTATATATACTCGTATCCTTTAGCCAGAATTTGCCTTCCGAGGACGTTGTTTGCCGACGGATCCATTACAGCTGAGCGCAGGGACTGAAAACGATTTCTCCAAGACCCTGTCGAATCTACACAATAGCGGCTGGGACTGATCTGGACGCGATTCGTAGCGAGATACTCACAGGAACAAGGAAGTGAGCGTGAGACCCTCTGTCGTAGCGGTTACGGCGGCAGGAACGGGACACATAGCCTGTGTGTCCGTACATGGCAAACTGCTGTAGGGAGTTCTGAGTCATCTACCGACAAAGATGAGAGTGTAATATAATGACACGTAATACAGGAGAATTTTACGACTGAGGAGAGTCAACTGTTGAGTGCAGCTATTATCCACTACTTTGGGAACGGGAGGAAGTTTCGAGGTGACTGGTGTTTCAGTGATGGCTACATTACCTTCCAAGACCTGATGGACGTGTACATGGAGACTTATCGTGGACGTGTTCTCACTGTCGTCGGTGATTGCAGTCACTCGGGGAGCTGGGTGAAACAGTGTTATCAGTTCATGGACGGACAAGGAATTATCCCATGTGGGCATCATGCAATTGAAAAAGGGGTTCTCGTCAAAGTTTTTGCTTCATGCAAATCACACCAGAGAGCCAATGTTCTTGGATACTCACTGAATTGCATGTTCAATGATAAAAATGTTGGTTGCACCAAATTCAGAATTTTTGAAAAAATTGGAGAACAACAGTCTGCAGTTGGGCGAGATTTTACAGCTATGCTCTGTGGAAATAAAGTGGATGAACAGTGTGGACAGGACAGTTCTATGACCTGGCAGATGAAATCAGAGGCAGAGAGAATACGCCTTGTGAGGGGAAAAGATAAGGGGAAACCGGCGTGGCATTATGTACTGCTGGTTGATGACGAAGAAACGATTGAGAAGCTCGAAGAAGCCCTTGGTGGCAATTTGAATGTGGCTGATTACGGACAGCTACTGTACTCTGGCCAGGGAAAAGATCCTCCAAATGAAGTCGTAGAAGAGGTCCACAAGAAATACAAGATTGATAGGTGATACTGACCTATTTTTTTAACCAGACAGCACGCGTGCGCATGCGCCGCTACGGGCTCACCGGGTGCGCATGCACAGTGTAAGTACGCGTGGGCGGTTTACGCTGTGAATTTCGTTCCGGAAAGGGGCGTTTCGACAATGGCATCTGTGAAGTGTCTAGTAGCTGTGGATGCTTTCCGAAACAAGCATTCTGCCGGCGGTACGAGGACAGTTTTTATACTCGGATCATTAGCCAGTTTGCCTTCCGCGGACGTGGTTTTCCGACGATCCATCACACTGAGCGACGAGGACAAGAACACGCTTTCTAAGGGCCTCGCCCTCCCGCCAGACCGCTGGACTGACCTCGACGTGATCCTAACGAAATACGCACAAGACGAAAATGTAAGCATTGGCCCACAAGAATTATTCACGCAAGAAAACGAGGTTTCTTGTGAGACTGTATTGGCCAAGCTCAGAGATTTCTTTAGCTCGTCTACCGATAAAGACGGAGGTAGGTTTCAGCATTGTTCAGTCATTAGATTTTAATTTTCTGCCATTTTATAGCCGTGATCCACTATTTTGGGAATGGGAGGAAGTTTCGAGGTGACTGGTGTTTCAGTGATGGCTACATTACCTTCCAAGACCTGATGGATGTGTACATGGAGACTTATCGTGGACGTGTTCTCACTATTGTCAGTGACTGCAGTCACTCGGGGAGCTGGGTGAAACAGTGCTATGAGTTTTTTGAAGGACAAGGAATTATTCCATGTGGGCATCATGCCGTTAAAAAGGGGATTCTTTTAAAGGTTTTCACGTCATGCCGACAAAATGACACAGCAAGTGTGCTTAGGTTTTCAATGCAATGCATATTTGTTAATAAAAACACGGGTGGAAATATCAACTACAACATTCCAAAGAAAATAGGAAAAATGCAACAATCCTCTGGAAAAGATTTCACGACAATGCTCTGTGGCAAGAAAGTGAACGAAGAATGTGTAAGGGATAGTTCTATATATGACATGGGAAATGGAAAGCGAGAGTCACAGAATTTACCTAGTAAAGGGTACTGATAAAGGAAGGGATGCATGGTATTATGTACTGCTGTTTGATGATGAAGAGAATATTAGTAATTTCAAGGAAGCTTTGCAGGATAAAATAATAAACTTGGAGAAATATGGGAAAATACTACATTCTGGTTTTGGAAAGGAGCCCCCAAACGAAGTGACTGAAAAACTCCACAAGAAATATAACATTATAAAGTAGTTTGAAAATAATGTCTGTTGTTGTAATAATAATTGCGCGAGCGCCACGCCTTCTCAATCCGCGCACGACGCTGCTCGCTCTCGAACGCGCGCACTTCACAAGACTTGAATGTGTGCAGTTTTTTTCAGTGGGTGAATTACGATGGTGCTGTAAAAATTACGAGTAAAGAACAGAGAAAATACATAAAAGTGAAGTGAGAGCAAAAGTAGATATAATCTCAGACGTTCCACCAGTCATTGAGATGGTTGTTTTGCAAAACGCAGGTCTCTGCACGGCGCAGGTCTTCCAGAGGGCGGGGCTGGTGGTGCCGAAGTAAGAATTCTCTTCCTGGTTGTAGAGATTGTTGACGCAACAACCCAACTGCCGCCGAAAGTCGTCCAGAACCACCTGACAGGCCAGCGGGCATCCTCTGTCCATCGCCTCCACGCACTTGTCTTGCACTAGGGCCGCGGCGGGTGCTCCGCTGCCGTCGTTGACGAATTCGAAACAGTAGCGCTCGTCCGCGTTCACCCCGCAAACGTTGACGAAGTAGCGGAGCAGGGACGAGTAGCCGCAGCCGCGGAAGAGGTCCGCGAAGGCCTGTCCGTAGTCGGGGCTGCACTCCATGAGACTTCTCCTGTACTCCACCTCCTCTCGGACGCAGATCTTGGTCTCGTGCGTCTCCCGGTACGCCAGCGTGCTAGCGCAGAACCCCCCCAAAGGCTCCACGCCGCATCCCGTCCAGAGCAGGTTGCTCGCCGAGCGGTCGTTGAAAATGGGCTCGTCCGAAGCGTTGTAGAGATTGTTGATACAACAGCCGACTTTGTCGCGGAAGGTGTGCAGCGCCTCCTGGCAACCGGTGCTGCAGCTCGGCTTCCCGTACTCGTCAAAACAGAGCGAATTGACAGCGACGCGATAGTGATGGACCCGCTCCGAGATCTCGAAGCAGAATTCCCCGTTCAGTACCCCGCAGTTGTTTACCTCCATCTGCGCCACCTGGTTGTAGCCGCAGCTCGTGTACGTGTCCACCAACTGCTGACCGACCGTTCCGTTGCACTTCAGAGCGCGTAGCCTGCTCAGGTAGACGGCTGTGGTACAGAGACGCGGGTCTGCGTCGGCTCCTTCCGCGTCAAATACGACAGCGTACATACTCAGCAGCATAAGACTTATTCCTGCTATCCACTCCGGCAAGGACATGACTATAGAGCCTGCGAGTTCAGACACGTTCATGCTACGGACGCAGCTATTATATATCATAATACAGAGCGGTGTTGTCTGAGTACTGCATGCTAGAGTGATGCTTTATTTTTCAAACAGTTTTCACCCTCTACACAGACTGATGAATTGCAACAATGGACAGCCTGTTCACAAGTCATACGAGACACCCGTAATAGAGAGGAACACATGTGTTCTTCAAGTTTGCTGGACGATGTCGAGGCATGGTTAATTTACACTCGGCCACTTAGAGCCCTAAGGGCCGCACAAATACGTAGAGTGAAAAAAAAGAAACATGAGAACAAACTGTGACTCAAACAAGACACCACAGAGGGACAAATTTCCACTAGCGAAAAGAAAAAAAAATCAGACCGCTATCATTTCCAGAGTTTGAGGACTCCATCATGCGAGACACTGACGATAAACTGCTGGTTCTTGTAGGGGACGACGGAGAGGTCTGTGACAAAGTCAACGTGGGAGTGTTGGTGAGAGCATGCCTCGGGGGGAGGGAGGCCGTCGGGACTGCTGGGACCTCCAGACGATGACATCACTGACTGAGTTATCTCCTTGGTTACCTCAACGCCCTCAATCACCTTGAACCTGAAAGTGAACAAGTTTAAATTTTTTAATCCTGGTCCGAAATGAGTAGGAACATGGCACAAGAGCTCAGTAGAAAAGCACTCTACATAGAGAGGGGTATATACCAACCAGGGTCTCTTTTCTCTTTGGGAATAAGGGTGTCGTTGAAGTGCTTTGCCGCGTTCTTTGCTTTTTTTACCTCAAATTATGATCATGAATCAAGGCAGCTTGCGAAACAGTTGTCCCGGGTGTATATAGTTCTGTATTTTAGCCTTGCAATCTCATTGCTGTTAACTTGCAAACTGTGTGTTGGTATACTCACTGGTAGTCAAACTGGATTCTCTTGAGGTACTTGGGTTTCACTACGCAGCAGCAGCGATCCGGGTCCCTGAGGTTCCACAGTCTGACGATCCTGTCTGTCCCTCCGGTCAGGATGACTGGGTGGTCATCAAACACGCACGTTGTGAGCCCTCTCACACTCTCCTGCTGGTGAGGCTGTATAGTATGGGCAAAGTGCAGCAAGTCCTGAAAAACACTGATATTACAGAGGAACACCTCTCTAAGGACACCCCTGAATGAGGACACCTCTCTTATGTAGGATACCTCCAAGAACAGTTCTTGCGTGCTATTTTTAACCCCTGAAATAAGGACGCTTCACTAATTCAAGGGGTTCCACGGTAGAAAATTCTTTGCAAAAAGTATCCAAACCTTTTATACAAGTACTTCCATTTTTATACTTACTTGTAGGTATAGCGGATAATTCTACACAGTGAGGTGTTCAATGCAGGTAAGGGTGCAGGATATTAACTGGTCTATAACTGTGTCCGACCCACCCACCCATGAATAGTCTAGTGTCCCAACAAAACATAGGAAACTTACACAGCCCTCACAACTTACCTTTCAAACATTTATACGAAATATTCACGTGTGAGATGTATATATGCACAAAGCTGGAGAAGTAATTGTCCCCACCTTGTCTGTCATCTCCCCAAAAGGAGGTGCCGGACTGGCCCACAGCATCTGTCTCCTCGTGGCAGTCTCCATGTCCCAAACAGAGACTTCGTTGTTACCGGAGACGGCCGAGATGAGGGAGGGAGGGTCCGTCGGGTGGGGGCTTAGATGGTGGACCGCGTGCACGTGAGCTAACAATTAATACAGGTGGTTGATAATAATATACACGAATCAGCTACATCTGTGTCTGTTTGGAGCTGTGAGGAATGTGTTAGAAATGTTACTAAAGATCAATAGGGCACAGTACAAGATTAAGATAAATTTAGCCCTTATTACACTGACACACTCAGCCTTGGTTGGGGATGTAAGTGTGCAATACTCAGCATGACGTGAAAGTACAGCAAGAGCCCTACAATATCAGATGCTGCTCTAGATTTTTAATGCCGCTCAACAGCAATAGCACACATAACATTTTCAATTGCATTTTCAATCAAAGTCTCTATATATATAGACAAATAGGTATGTAAGAGAGAATGCATGATGGCGTACTATGTTTCTGGTGGCCAGTGTGCTGCCAGTGGCGAATGGGCAGTTGGAACCTCATGTCCCAGATGACGTGATAGCCTAGGCTGGTGCCCAGAGCCACCCAGTTCTCGTACGGATCCACCGCCATTGATAGAACCAGACCTGATGGAGGAGGTGGTGGGGGAGCAAACGATGAGGGAGGGAGGGAGGGAGGGAGAGGGGGAAGAGGAGAAAAGGAAAACAAAGGGGGAAAATGAAGACAGGGGGCGAGAAATAAGACAGGGGGCGAAAAAAGATGAGAACAAGTCAAATATATACATAAAGAAGAGGGAAGTGTAAGACCAAAAAGCGAAGAGAGGGGGAAAGAGTAAAAAGAATGTCTAGCTAACCAAACTTGGGGTTGTTAGTGAGTCTCCAGACAGTCTCGTTGCTACGGAGGTCCAGCCCACACAGCCTTCCCTTGGTGGTGACGTAGGAGAGGAGGTTCTGGCCGCCGGCCGTAAAGTGAGCCATCTCCACAATCTGGCCCTCTGCTGCAGGGTCCACAAAGCTCTCCAGCAGTGGTTTAACCCTGTTGCCACTAGCGTAGGAGGAAGAGGCCGTGCTGGCTATGGTAGCACTGGTGCCTGATCTCCCCCTCTCTTTGTCCACATCAATACTGCCAGCAAGAAGTGAGAGAGATAAAGGGTGTATTTTCTTAAAATATGACCAAAAATGAATTTTAAATCACTCTCACTTATTCACCTTATTTCTCAAACAACATATTTTTGGTTTGCATCTCAAAAATATTTGCCCAACTGCAGTAGAATACACTTACGGGAAAATGTGGATGTTACCATTGGAAGAGGCGGCTGCTATTGCTGTGTTGTTGAGGCAGAACACCCCAGTCTTTACCTGCCCACCTGTACATTCACAACGACACACAGTGATGATGCTATACGCAGTTGAGTCAAACTAGAACAAGGCCATTATACTAGACGAATGCAAGAGATTTTTGGCGAGTGAATGTGAGTGTGAAATTACTGCGCATTACATAACGTTACAATGCTGTCTGGTGAGTGGAAACATTGCCCATTATATTCATCAATTAACAAAGAGGATGAGGAGGAGGCAGGACCTAATTGGGTGTAGGACAGCTTGGCCTTATTGATGAGATTCCTGCCCTCGAGTTTCTGGACGTCCCAGAGCTTTGTCGTCCCGTCGCTGGAGAAGGTGGCAAACACAGGGCTGTCCAGTAAGACACGCACCCTGCGTCATAGCAACACAGTAATATGATCACACTGACCGGTAGAGATGGATTTGAGAGAGTTGTATACATACCTGTTTATGCTGTCTTTGTGCTCGTGAATGTGAGCCACTAACTGTCCTTTTGGCACCCACCTGTATCACACACATGCATGCATACATCAAAATGGTGACTCGACTGGACAAGAGTGAAATGATGTGTGTTTCTTGCCTGCTGGAGGACTGGAAGCAAGTGTTCTTTACTAGCTCATTATCCATTGCCTGCATATCTATGAGGACCAGTAGTTAATCTTTACTCCGCAGACAGGATCCATATATAATATACCTTCAGCATACTGCCTCTGTTTATAGTCCAGTAGCAGCTTCAGTCCTTCAATACAGCTCGCGTTCTCCACAGCTGTATACAAAAATAGTAATTGTAAGCTTTCTTATAGCTCCAAACACCCCAAGATTCATATTCAGAGGGTGTAAACCATTATTTAGAAAGGCACGTTTAAGCAAACAAGTGATTGAAGCTTAGTTTAGTTAGGGCAATGAAATTTTTCAGGGGGATTTATTTTTCTACTTGCCTCCCCAAAGACGAACTAATAAAAAAAAACTCACCATTGCGCGGTCTTGGAAGATAGGGAGGACTGAGTTTTTTCTCTCTCCTCGGCGTGACCTGAGGTTGTACCGTTCTCTCGTCTCCCCCAGCTTGGACCCCAGACTGGCCGACCGAGACAGCCATTGTGGCACTGCTGCCTTCACTCCGCGACCTCTTGTGGCCTGGAGTCTTCCTCTCCTGGTCCTCCAGTGCCCCAGTCTCCGGGTCTCTGCCTCTGCTCAATACGTTCTCAGTGGACCTGCTCATCTCCTCTGTGTGTGTGTGTAATGTATGGAGGCAGAGTATGGTACTGTGGGCGGGGTCTGATCGATTGGCGTTTGGTTTGAGCGTGCTTCAATAGTTTAACGTGATGTCACTGAGAATGGTAACGGCTAACAACGTCCCACTGCATGCCACAGTTGAGGGACAAGTGTGACATTTTATTACTTGCGACTTCACACGTCTTGTTGCAAACTCAGGCAGTGTACGTATTTCGAATCAGGCTTCAGTCCAACCTCTGGCCCCTTGTAAATTAACGGTAAAAGAAAATGGGTGGAGGCAGGGTCTCTCTTCGCCTCTCAGAGGTTTTGTACATTTCCACGAGAGTTCACTAGCAGAGGATCGACCATACCTCTGGAGAGAGTCTGTACACTGAGTTTCGGTGAGCTGCCCAGAGACCCCACGCCCCCTTTTGTCGTCGTCCGGGGCGACCCCGAGGAATGCACCGAGAGGTGTGTCCTGCGATGAGTGGAGGTGGGGATGGGTGTGGGCTGTGACGGCTTGGTCGATGATTTGGAGCGTGGTGCCAGTTCAGAACCAAATATCCGGTCCCAGTCTTCACTCTGTGGAGTAAGAAACCACTCATAAAACAGTGAGTAATGTAAGTGCTGGCACAGATATTTTTCAGAGGTCGATGATGTTTTTAAATGGGACAACTGATGTCTTAGTATGCATACTTAATCAGGGTGAAAAGAAGAAATGACAAAAGCAAAAAAGGCGCTGTGGTGATTGAAAAGGAGATGTTGTATAGTGGGAAACTGTAGAAATGCAAAAACTCACTCCAGTGATCTTTGAATCAGAGCCAGAGCTCGCCTTGGACACTGTTCGCCTGTTGAGACAAATACTACATCCAAAAGAACTTATTTTACAATTAAAAATTTTACGGAGAATCCTTCGCAGACTACGTACTTTGTGAGATTTGTGTGTGTGTTTTAGTTATGTGGGTATACATACCTCTTGGAGGTGGAGGAGGAGGTGAGGGGGAGCTGGGGTCTGGGTGGACTGTACGTCAGTTTCTGTTGCCGGGAGACGACTCGTGGGAGGAGCTTGCAGTCAATTACCCCCCGGGGCCCCTGCTGGGGGTCCTGCTCAGCAAACCTTGCGAGACACAGACAGACACCCGGTGCAAACAGTAACTGAATGGCGACGTTACTCACAGCTGCTTGTTGACTGTTTGTTTCAGGAGAATGTCCTTTAGTTGCTGCAGTTAAGACAGACCGTGGATGAAAATACTATATACAATCGAACAAAACACTACACGTATGCATGCTCAAAAAATGCTCTATATATAGGTTAGATGCTGAGTCCAGGAAACTACGCGAATTAGAGAGCCGCGGGGGGCCCTGGGCTGTCGGCGTTCGAGTGCAGCGAGGACGCTACTAAAGGGCCCCCAAGGCGTAGTTGATTTGTTTGCTTTGCCTTGCCTTTCTATCTCACTACCTAGTTGTTGACACATACCATGCAGCCTATGAAGAGATTGCTTGCTTGCAATGTCAGCCTCTTCCAAGAGAACTCACACACTGAACTTACCCATCGAGTATTACACCAACACACCCGATTCATGTCTTACTTAAACTGCTCCACTCACCAACAAGGAGGCCTCGTGATGCTCATTCAGCCCCAGAGTTTGCAGTCTCCTGAACACCTGTACGTATATCATTAATAATAGCAGTGAGAAAACTGCTGGTGATAGGAAGAGAGTCCCATGTAACAATTACGTACAGCTCTTACTGGCAGTAGGTGCGACTTGATAGGCTCCTTCTCTCCCTCACTCTTCCTCTTCAGACTACTCACAAAAATAGAGGAGATTGGTTCAAAAATATTCAAATTTTTTGATGTTCAAAATTTTTTGCCGTTGTACTACGTATGTACGTAGCTTCCATGCGTGATTCTTATGAACCCTAAAGTACATAGTATGTGTTGCAGACCATTTGAATATTTCTTCGAGGTTCTGCTGCTTGAGGAGATAGTCCAAGACTCCACGAGGGACCGACTCTTTCATAGCACTCAGCACCACCAACTACAACAGTACATGAACACGTGTATATGGATATAGTGAAACCTCAGAAAAAAGGGCCCCTCCGAATAAAGGACGCCTCTCTATAAAGGACACTTGGTTCTGCCCAATACTAATTCATTAGTGTCTTATACTGCGTGCGAAAAAGGGACACCTCTGTATAAAGGACAATTTCAATGTCCCCAAGCCCCTGCCACAACGGATTGTAAGTATAAAAGTGAAACATGAAAATCTCAAATGTATGGGCATAATGCAGGACAACCTGTGTCATCCCTATATACTAAGTACTACCGTACTTTAGTGATACCTCATTCTGTAGTTGAAAGACAGGATGTTTGAAGTAAGGTTTTACGAGAGGATAGACGAAGCACTCTGTGTCCACCTCGTCCACCTGATGGTCACAGCAGCACAGAAAACCAACTGCCTCGTACCTCACCCAGATGTTCTGGGAAAAGAGGGTAGATTTCCTTTACTGTTATTCCAACAAACACTAGTCAAGTTTCCACAAAAACTGATGCTATATAAACTGTGGTCATCATCAGTATAAGAATGTAAGAGTAAAAAATTTAACCGGTATAAAGAGGCTAACAGATTTTCACTGGGTGGACTAGAAATGGGCAAAATAAAGGAAAATAAATTAACTGGGTGGACTAGATAGAGGCTAAGAAATTTACTGAGTGGACCAGAAAGAGGCGAAAAATTTACTGGGTGGACCAGAAAGAGGCGAAAAATTTACTGGGTGGACTAGAAAGGGTGCGATGAGCTTGACGTGTTTCACGAGATGATTCCTATCAAATAGTTTTCTCTCGGCCACAGAGGTGACAGCTGCAATTGTCTTACACACCACAGTTTCCTCGGGAGAGCTTAGCCCCTAGTCAGTGAGGAAGCAGTAAGAGAGAGAGAGAAGAGAGAGAGAGAGTGGTGTGAGTGTGTGAAAAGAGGTGAGAGAGTGAGCAGGAGGTGCACGGAGGGAAGGGAGGCGCTAACCTGATGGACTAAAGGTTCCAGAATGGGCAGACTGCGGTAGCCAAGGAGTCTTGCAACACTCACAATACTTTCAAAGAACGCTGCGTGAAGATCCCAATCGGTCTGCAACAAACACACACACACCGATTCGTTGAGCTGGAGAATGAATGAAGTCTACCTTGTCGTTGAGGAAGGTGATCATGTGAGAAAGGATTGCTTCATTAGCTGGAGAAGCAGGAAAAGTTCATGGTTGAGTATGAGGGCTAAAATAGAGTAACTCAACTGCACTGACCCTATTGGTCTTTTAGTAAAATCAGCCCTTACGCCACATTCAGATTAAGAATTGAATTCCTCACCTCTGAGCGGCCCAAAAAATTCACAGAGTTTCCCAGCACTGTGTCTCAGTAGTGCCTTCTTTACCAGTGAACCCTGAGGAAGAACAAGTATCGCGTTGCAGTTGAACAAAATTTTCAGGTGTCCACTCGAAATTTTCTTGGATTGAGCTACTGCGCCATTAAAAACTAGGCTCCACTGAATTTTCAAGGTTGTATAATTATACTTTGTACTGTGTATAAATTTACTCTCTCGCAGTTTATGAAAATGAAAATTTTTAGTGCCTCAAAATTTGGTGCTCGTAAAATTATGCGTCTATTTGTAGTATGTACCGAGTCAGTGAGAAGGTGGACAATCTTTGACTGGATTGACTGCTGGAGCTGAGTCAGCTCGCTGTCGTAGCTCCCCTGGACCTGGTACTGCATGATGCCCGACGTCTCGTCTGCGTCCTGGTTGGCCTTCAGCTGGGCCAGCTCGAGGAACCGATGGGCCGTCTTTGCCAGGTCCGCCACGCACTCCGCAAAAGCTATCTTCACCACCACTTCCTTGTCGCTAGGTACGTGGACCTACAAATATTGAAAATAGACTAGAACCTACACCACCTGCTGATTCATTGCTTAGAATATAGGGACAGCAGGCCTTCATTTAGAAATCCAATGGGAGCATAACGAGTATAATGCAAATCCGGGTGTCCTTGTTCATGAAATGGCTCATCGCAATTCCAAGAGAGGGTAAGATTGGATCAAGGGGGCTGAGTGCCACTCTAAATGAACCCCTGTATTGGGCCCCTCTAAATGAACCCCTGTATTGATGAACTCCTGTATTGGGCCCCTCTAAATGAACCCCTGTATTGGGCCCCTCTAAATGAACTCCTGTATTGGGCCCCTCTAAATGAATTCCTGTATTGGGCCCCTCTAAATGAACTCCTGTATTGGGCCCCTCTAAATGAACCCCTGTATTGGGCCCCTCTAAATGAACCCCTGTATTGGGCCCCTCTAAATGAACCCCTGTATTGGGCCCCTCTTTTAAAATCGTGTGTAGACTCAGTAATTGTGAAACTTACCAGAGATTGCAAGATGTACTCGGGAAACAAATTGACATCACTGCAGCAGAGAGAAGTTAGTTTCTTGTGAGAATGATCTTGGTTTTGCCAACCTTCTTGGGACATGTCGAACCAGACAGAGACAGTGAGTGAGTGTCCGTATGGCCTCCGCTCTGACTGCAGGCCACTTGTCCTTCACCAGCAGGACCTATGAATACAGACTTCCTATGAATACGGAAGTTTGATTTATATGGGCACATTTTACTCGCTGATTCCCAACAGCCGTGATCGTCTAGAGGTTAGGACATTGCGTTGTGGCCGCAATAACCCAGGTTCGAATCCTGGTCACGGCACCCTTTTTACACTTTTTTTCCCAATCAATTTTCTTTACTTGGGCTTTTCTATCAAATTTTAGCAACCACAATATCTCCAACATTTTTTACTCACTAGATATGGGACCGCTCGCTCCAAAATACACTCGTCTGAGATGTGACGCGATATTCTCTTCATCATTTCCAGTGCTTGAAGCTTCGACGAAGCAAACTGAAAAATTGAAAAGTAAAAATAATTCTCAAAGCAGCATTTTGTTTCTAACCTGTGTCAGTCTCAGGTGAGACGTAATGGCCGACAGAATGATAACCAGTGCATCTATTGGAAGAAAATTTAACTTAACATACATATATGCATACAGTCAAGCAATGAACCCAGGTCTCTCACTATAACCAAGACACCTACACACCTCCGTAGCCTGTTTCTCTATCTTTATCTCTCTTGTCCAGCAGCAGGTTTGCCAGAATAGGTTCAGCATCTCTGTAGAGCCTAGACGAGTGCAGTTAACACATATTATGTTAGAAATGCTTCCATTGAGAAAATGTATATTATAGCCGTGTCATGTGCGTACTTCTGAATGCATTTGTCTGGGGTCAGCTGCATTGTGATGCTGAACTGCTTGAAGTAGCCGTGCAAAAACGAGTAAAAGTAGTCGGGGAAAACGTCCCCTATACAGAAGTAGAAACAGTTGACGACAGAAGTACGTATGTCAATGATTCTATATACGGACCTTTGTAGACTTTTAGATACTCTTGGGCTGTCAGTCTCTCTGCAGGGTCTCTCTGTATCATGTGCCTAATCATCCTCTGTATGCATGATGATATACACACACAATACAGAGTATGATATAAAGTATGGTAGAACCTCCGATAAAGGACACTTTAGTAGGACACAATAGGGAAAAGGACACACTTGAGGTACCAAACGTTAACCTTCTAGTATAAATTATTTTGAACCTCAAAAGAGAGAACAACCTCCCCAAAATGGCCGGTCCCAGGTTGGTATATACGTATCAGTTGGTTGGTGAGTGGACTGACTCTGACTGGCTTGTCGGCGATCTTCTTGAGGAGAATTTCGGGGGAGTACTCTCCCTGTTTGGACCGCAGCTCCAGCAGTTGAGACAGGTCAAACAACTGCCGCCCGTCAGTAAACAACTCTCCTATAACACACCTGCAAATACAAAAAATCATATCTTCTGTGTCAGGTGTCCATTATCATTGTATATCTACTTACAAATTGTCCTTCTGTGTTCAGATAATGCTTCTAGTCAGCACGCATACAGTAAGTGAATAGATGGAAGACAGAAGAACTGATAGAAATACACAGGTCGTGATGGAAAGAGAAAGAACTTTTGTCCGAAGTGGAATTTCTAGTCAGAACACCTGAGGTTGACTCTGGATAAAAAGTTGGTTTTTCTCTTTCCCTCCTAACTTGTGTGTTTCTACTGGTCAGCATACAAACCCCAGTGAGAAGATGTCCATGGCCTCAGCGAGAGCGGGGCGAGTGTTGGCCGGCAGCGAGTCGTCCACAAACCTCTCGGGGGCGATGTAGCAGGTCCGGCGACGAGACGTGTCGAAGAAGAAGGAGTAATCAGCTGGATTGTCCTGCAGCAAGTATATACCACTCTTTCCTCAACTGAGCTGCCTTAATTTTTTGTTGGTCAATTTTTTTCTCTCTATATAGCACACTGTTTAAATTTGCATATCTATTGTGACTTTATGTGAGAATTTCGCAAGTAAATACATATACATATATGAATGGAAATCAGCCCAATGTACCATGCATGCATAGTTAACTGGAAGAACCCTAGACCAGGGTTAATGTCTCACGTAAGATGGATCCATATAATCTAGACCAGCTATGAACTTACTGCAGGCAGTAGTATGGGCTTGAAGCTGGCAAAATCTGTCAGTAGAACCCTGCGAGTGGAAGGAAAGCCAGCAAGTAGTATTGATTACTGGGAGGACCCTACCAATCCCAGCCTGTCAGCAGTACATTCTCTGTCTTTATGTCTCCGTGATATATCTATACAAGAACATAATGCTAGATAGTAAGAGCTACATTATCCATGGCTCATACATCATAAGCACTTAGAAAACCTGACTCGTGATACCTTTTTGGCGTGGCACTCCTCCAGTGTTTTTAGCAGCTGGAAAGCTATCCATCTCTTCTCCATCACACTCAGGAAAGGCCGAGTACTGATGAGACGTATAGAGGCAGTGTCATAGTGTTAATAGGATATGAATTCCCATGCCAAATGTATACCTGATTCTGTCATACAGATTGAATTGGACGTACTGTCGGACTAGGTAGGCAGCTTTATCAGTCTCCTATTCAAAGTGGACGTAATATCCATGAAACCAGTAAATCTTGTTTACCCAGAATTTCTGGAAAGGCAGAGCATTGCCCACTCCATGTAACCTCACTCTAATATCTGCAGTGTGCACCAGTGAGCTCAGCTGGGGTTCAAACAGCCGTCAAGACAAGGAGTCCTACCGTGCAGCTTGTTCTCGTGGCTCTTGAGATTCAGTGAGGAGTCGTGCTTAGCAAACACCTTTACCACCACTTCCACGTAGTCTCTGGAGGGCCGGCGATAGAGAGAGTGTGAGCAAGGGATATAGGGATGTACAGACGCTGCACCTGTGGGTCGACCGAGCCACTTTGAAGAACCTTGTGCTCCCGAGACTGCAAAGAATGGGGGATGAAGCGCCTTGGCCGACTGCGAACGAGCACCCAGGGCTGACCTGATGGGTTTTCCGTAGTCCGTGAGGTCGTTGAAGTAGCTCTCTAACGGCAGGATCTGTGCCGGAGCTATGGCCGTTATTTGATTACCCATGCTTGCTACAGAGCTTCGGCAGTCTCGGTTGTTCTGACTCGGTGATCGCGATTCAATATTTCTTGGAGTTTCCCGCACGCATAAATAGAACCAATTTACGGAAGCGGACCCCTCCTCTTTAATTTCCAAGATCGCAGCCCAGATAATGCTGTCATCCAGACTCTGCCGTCGTCTTCAAAGAGTTGTGCAGTGGAGATCAGTAGGTTGTGTGAGCACCAGACGGGTTCATTGTTCCACTCAGCTCAGGATGGCTTCGGGCAAACTAGTGAGCCTGCGCCTTTGTTTCTTGCATGTCAGCTAGCTCAGCCTCTGCATGCAGCAACCGGCAAAGCGTGCCACGGGACACGGGAAGAACCTATGGTGAGTTTCTTGCAGGTCTGATCTCCTCCCGTGCTAACTTTCACCTCGTGATAGGGTGGAGTTTGTCGCTCTTGCTATGGAAACGAAGGCCATAAATCTCGGGCAGGTAGCTATATACTGAGAACTCTATAAGAACTAGGTAGCTACACCGTTTGTGGTCTGCAGGGAATGCCAGACTTTGGCCCACCTCAGCACCTGATTGACGCTCTGTGTGACTGCAGTCAGGAGGCAAAGAACAACCAGTACACGAGAAGCCAAGTGAGAGCTGAAGGGAATTTCTCCACCTTACTAACTACCTGCTCCATTCTTCCCAGGGTCATGTAAGGCTGGTGACAGCTCTAGCCAACATGTATAGTCGGCTCATGGGGAGACAGCTCAACCCCATGACAGATGTAAGTGTTATATATTTTTTGGTTTTTGAAAAGGTAGCCCTCAGAGAGGGCCTAAAAAATTATTCCACACTCATAGTGTGTCCTCCTCCACGGAAATCTTTAGTAAAAGGCGAAAGATTTATTCGCTCTGAAGGAAGACCAGAGTGACTGCAGTGAGCTTTCCACTGGCTTATATACCGCGAGTTGAGCCCAACAGTTGTGGTTTTCAGTTAGATCTCCCATTAGCACAATGAGATGAACATAACTCACACTTCCTGTGCAACAGCATTTGTAAACCACAACACAATATGAGCTATTTCTGTACTATAATATTATACTGTGATAAAGCACTGAGAGTGTGGAATGATACAGAGATATAAGGTGTATCTATAAGCATGATATTTCAATATTCCAGGTGGTTGTATCAATGGGTGCCTACAGTATCCTGAGTCATGCCATCAATGCTTTCTTGGAGGAAGGAGATGAGGTGGGGACATTATAGGATCCACTGACATACTCACAATCCTTCTATCCTTCCTGCAGATTATTTTGGTGGAGCCATTCTTTGACTGCTACCAACCCATGGCCAAAATTGCAGGGGCGAAAACCGTGTTTGTCCCACTTCGTCCGGTTGGTTGGCCTCTCGGGTGGTGGTTACGTAAACATTACTAGACTTATGAGCATGCTCAATAGTGCAAAGTGGATTCCTTAGAGATGTGAATACTATTACAAAACCCGCAATAACCACAAGCGTTGCGTGCAAGTCTGGGTATATAAGCTGGAGCCCTGCCGCTCAGTGCACTCTGGTCTTCCTTCAGAGCGAATAAATCTTTCGCCTTTTACTAAAGATTTCCGTGGAGGAGGACACACTATGAGTGTGTAACAATTTTTTTAGGCCCTCTTTGAGGGCTACATACGAATTTAAAATCAAAACAACTACCTTATTGAGCACACATTGCCTTTCGTGGGAATTTCAGCAGGGGCAGTATGCAGGGCACTCCAAAGACTGGGTGCTGGACCCAGGGGAGCTGGAGGCTGCTTTTTCACCCAAGACCAAGATGATCATTGTTAACAACCCAAACAATCCTCTGGGAAAGGTATAACTGACAAGATTTGGGAACTTTAAATGCTATTACATTGTGGCTAGCGGTTACACAGGGAAGGTTGAAGATTTGTACAATTGCGATTTTTGTTTGCAGCTGTTCACGACAGAGGAACTTACGGTGGTGGCGGAGCTGTGCAAGAGATACGATGTCATCTGTCTCATGGATGAGGTGTACGAGTGGCTCACATACTCTGGTACCAAACACGTGAGAATGGGTGAGATCTCCCCATAATGACCTCATTAGAACTTGCTAACTCTCTCGCCCATCGTCCACCAGCCACACTGCCAGGGATGTGGGAAAGAACTATCACTGTTGGCAGTGCTGGAAAGACCTTCAGTGCAACCGGGTGGAAGGTAAGTCATAATACATAGCTATACTTGTGCTACAGGAAAACAAAAATCATTAGTAATAGCATGGATAAGACTTCCATGGATTGCTGTCCCACTTCAAAATAATGGTCCCATCAACTGAGTTTAATTTTCCACTGGCGGTTCCTAAAAGCCAAACTGTTTTGCATTCAGTGTTTTCTAGAGTCGGAAAACATGTTATGTGCAGATGGGGTGGGGGATAGGTCCAGAGCATCTTGTGAAGCACATGCAGACGATGCACGCCAACACTGGCTACTGCTACCCAACCCTGCTGCAGGTAAACCATATAGGACACCTATATATATATAGCTCCCTCCATAGACCACACCCACCACTCTGGTGTACTTGGAACCCTCTAATCTGGACTCTATAATAATAGGTGTCCTACTAAAAGAGGTGTCCTCATTTCATTGCAACATTCTCGAGAGAACAAGTGTCCTTATTAGAGAAGTGTCCTCGTGTCAGGGGTGTCTATTATGACCACAGGAAGCAGTGGCCAGGGCCCTGGAAGTGGAGACGGCTAGACTGGGCCAGCCAGACTGCTACTTTACTCAGCTGGCGGTGGACACGGAGAGGAAGAGAGACGAGATTGCAGAGGTCCTGAGGGAAGTGGGTCTGGAACCCATCATCCCCGACTCTGGCTACTTCATGATGGCCGACACTACTCCACTGGGTGACTCACACCCTCCTGCCCCTCTCTCTCTACTCTTTTTCATTCTCCCATGTTTCATAACTAATCCTGACTTGAAGATTTCACCGTGTAGTGGGAAAGTTTAAGCGAGGATAAAAAAATTTTCGTGCTCGTAAAATTTAAGAGAGACAGCCTATAAATTTTCCTGCTGGTAGTGGCTCAATATACGACATCCTTACATTTTCAGGGATAAAATTTGACTCGGGTAATGATGAACCTTACGACTTTCAGTTTACAAAGTGGATGACAAGAGAAAAGGTGAGTCCACTATTTACAACATGTCACCTATTGACTTCACATTACGACTGCTGTATATATAGGGTGTTGCGACTATACCACCTTCTGCCTTCTTCAGTCCAGCCAACAAACACCTCGTTGAGAAGTTTGTTCGTTTTTGCTTCATCAAGGTAAAAACCACACTCATTATGCACCAAACACTGGCATTTCCATGCTGTTATGTTACACAGGACGACGCTACCCTCCAGGCAGCATACGCAAAACTAAGGGAGTGGGCAAAGGAACTAAAATCTGAGAAAAAGACATAAATTGTTGTATTGGAGTTCTACACAGGGTCTTCTTAGTTCTGTTTAGTATTATAGTACTGTGATTTGGCTCTCGCACCATAATGTTATATAATATAGCAGTCCTAGCAGTAAATTTTTTGTTTTTATGAACATGTATCCATGGTAATAATGCCACACGCAACTAAAAACAAAATTTGAAGTATATACAACGAAATACTTTTACAGTATATGTGGCGCATAAACCCACAGTCTGCTGCTTTCACGCCAAGTAGGTGAGTTTGAAGGTCCAGGCATACTTGAGCTCTCCGAATGGAATGAGAGGAATCCTAATGTTGAGTCCAGCCGGGCTGGCAGTAAATTCCAGAGGACCTTCATCGTAGCCCAGCAGGGAGACCTCCGTGGATTCCGTGGCCACCGCTTTCTTCAGTACAAAATCCTCCCCTTTACAAACAGATGTACACTATAATTATGGTGTTACGGGTAAATTGGTGGTTTTTGTATGCTATACCTGGAGTTGGGGCTTTGAAGGAGATGGCATAGACAGTCTTAGCGTCCTGTGAATATAATAGACACAGAGTATGGAATATGAACACCGAGAGTTAGCCTCTCATACTGACCTTGGAGGATGTGTACCAGATCATCATGTCTTCCGTGTCGTTCTGAAACTTCCACGGAATACTGTCGTAGATAGCCTCTCCATTGATCTGGACATGCATCAAACACGCACTTACATTACTCAGTGATTATACCATAGAAAAATAACGGTTAAACCCTCGAAACTGGGACCATGAAAACAGTCATCAGAAATGTCCTTCATTCGGAAGTTAACTAAGCATTTACTAAAACATTCGCATTAAACTGAAGGTGTCCTTTATAGAGACGTCCTATATTCAGAACTTCCATTACCATATTATTAGAGGTGTGTTCAATGTTGTGCGCCTACCTTGAGCCAGGCTCCCATCTCCAACAGTCTCTCCTGGAAGGCAGGCACAATCCTCCCATCGTGGGTGGGACCGACATTCAGCAACAGGTTCCTTCAGAACACAGTGCAATACTTCACCCCACACACCAACTATCACTACTATATAGTATAAGAGATGGGATACCCGTTGCAACTGACTGATTCCACGAGCTGTTTTAGAAGTCTCAGGGTGCTCCAGAACTGATCAATCCCCTCCTGCAGTTTAACACATAATATTGCCTCTCTCAGTACACTAGAATGAGCAAACAGACGTGATTAGTTCAGTACAGTTTGTGCATTGCTCATTTCATAGAAATGAGACAAAAAGCTCGTTTTGTTCGCCAATTATACTACCGAAAATTTTGAGGAATTTCACGAATTAAATCTTCACAAGATGTCTTGTGTATTGTATCTGAAGCGAGCGAGGCAGCATGGTTTAAGACGTGTGTTGGTGGTGGTTGTATATAGGACTCACGGTCCTGTCATAGCCCCAGGAGGACTCCTGTATGGTGTAGCAGCTCTCCCACTTGTTGGGAACCAGATGACCCGGGCTAAATCTGATAGTATGTATATATTATACCCAGCACCCTTATAACACAGCATAGCAAATATTTATGTGTACTGCACTATGCTGGTGTTGAGAACCATTAGGCTTGCTAATGAAGATATGTAGGCTAACCTGTCAGAACCCTGTGGAGTAATCTCCAATTGCTGGAGTGCCCCACCTGAACACAAACACTCGGTGATTACGTCAATTAGGGCAGGGGTTGCCCCTCCTCACCTGCTGTTGACCACAGTGGTCATACTGACGGGGCTCTCGTTGTACAGCCAGCTGAGGAACTGAGGAGACTTCCAGTACTTTATGGAGCTGTGGGTACACGGAGAGTCACCGGCCCCATCTGCCCATATCACCTCCGGCTGAATAGAAAACGACAGATATATATACACTGTCAAATTCCCCGTCGTGGCCAGGAGAGAGAGAGAGAGTGTGTAAGAAATGGGGAAAAACCAGCTTTTAAACCCTGGGAGTCAAATATCCTAAGAGGCGTGTTCTTCTAAGGAGCTTCCTGCATACACACCTTTAGAGCTACAACTATTATATGAGTATATAGTTGTCCAGAGGTGCACTATTTCACCTGATACTCCTCCACCATCTGTTTCATGGTGGGTTGGAGGATGTCGTCCACGAAAGTTGTAGTTGAGCAATTATCAGCTTGATCCTGTAATCAATACCGTACAAGAAGCCATCACGGATACTATGGGGGCCGGATATAGTATATACCGCAATATAAGCAGGGTTGAACCACTCTCGCAGGCTATGGTAGAGTCCCATTCGCAGACCTGCCTTCCTGACGCTGTTGGTGAGATCACCGACCAGATCTCGTTTTGGTCCCTCGTCGATGCTGTTCCAGTTCCAATGGTACGAGTTTTTGAAGTTGCACCAACCCTCGTGGTGCTTGGAGGTCAGCACCACATCTATGTAGAAGCAAAGTATGTAAATCAGTCCTATTTGAAAACCATTAGCTGAAAGAATCATGCAATTGAACGGTTCGGTTATCCATGTGCTAGCACTTTGTGCTCATAAACTCATGCACTAAGTCATGATTGCTCAAAGCATGACCAATAAGGTTGTTCATAACTCATAAAAATGGGTTTACACTGTAAATGCAGGCAAAAATTTTTTTGCTGAAGAAGCAAGTTGTGAAAAATTGACATACATTTGGCTCCGGCATTCTTGAAGAGGTTGGCCCATTCGTCTGGGTCCCACAGTTCTGCCTTGAACATGGGGGCAAACTCAGGATATCTGCACAATAATAATATTATGTCATGAAAACTTCACAAAGGGCCAACTGCGAAAAGTGTTGGTGGTGTATAGCATAGAACAAGACTGAAGGGCTGAGAACCAGAACGGTGTAACCCACAAAGGGCCATTTTGACGCGTTTTGGAAGGAGACAATCTTCTGCAAAATCCCATAAATCTCACTTTTAAAAGTATACCCTACCCATCTTTTCCCTTTTTTTGCACTCTTTAGGCAATTTGCCATTCTTAATTTTGGGATACAATCTGGTTCTCGGCCCTTCATTAGTGATAGCTTTCTCTCATAGCAGCTCTAAAACCTCACTTGACACGTTCCCAGAAAACTTAGTCACACACAACACGCGCAGAAAGGAATCTACGTATGTGTTGCGTGGGGCTCACGTAAAGTTGGGACCGGTACAGGGGAACTTGTCCGGTTCGACTCCAGAGCAGCCGTAGACCCTGTTGTGGAACTCCACGTAGTCTGCATCTCCATCCATCAGACGTTTCCAGTACCATTCGTTCTTGAACGCCGGGACACTAGAACAACCGTGTGGAAGTTTTGACTTAGTATAACTGTGGTTTCGTATGCATAATGCTTAATTCTAAAGGGGGACTATGTGCTTGGTAACTGCAGAGCATAGAAGTGGTTTAGAAGCATTACCTGAATATTCCCCAGTGAACTGAAAGAGAAAGTGGGAGGGAATTACGAATATTACGAACGACTGGTTTTACTCACTGAATATTCCAAACTTGACATTGTCGAACCAGGACGGCCTGGGACGGAACCTCAAGGACTGTAGAATGAGTCAAAGAACAAAAAAAATCAACTTTTTTCGGGAGTAACTTCATCGACTTACATCCCAAGTCGGTTCAAACTTTGGCAGAGGGCACGACTGGCCTTTTGAGGCAGTCGCTGGGCAGGCAAATGCACTCGGCCATCTCACTAAGGAAAAAAGTTATCTCTGTTAAAAACCCTCCTTTGTTTCTTCATTGTCACAGAGCATCAACCCGGCATACTTCAGTCTTTAGGTATGCACTTTACCTTTGTATGTGTACGATGGACTCTCCATGACATATTGTGGGGTCCCTATACCGGCAGATTCGTCGCAGTAGAAGTCTATGATGACAGCCCTCGGCCAGTAGTTGTCGTATACCCCATCTAGAGGATCGGGAAAATACCATAACTTGTGGTGAGGGCTCCAGAAGTTATAGATTGTACCTCCGTTGTTGTAGCCGATCCTAATGCCAGCTGTACTGTCAGTTGGATCGACTGGATACTGCAGTTTCCAAAGATACCAGGGTCATCATACGTACGTGTGTGTGTGTGTGTGTGGTATGACTACGTAATGCATGGTGTGTGTGCCTTCAACTGCAACTCACGGCAAAGGGGGAGCTGAGGTTTCCAATGGCGATGCAGGAGGTATCGCTGTTGCTGTACTGGTAGGCAGGGGCGGGAGGCTGGGACCTGCACGGTGCAGGCACACTGGAGGACGCCAGGTTCTCGCACACGGTCAGGACGTAGGTGTACGAGCTGGTGATGTTAGCTCCTCCCAGAGCGGCTATCTTGGAGAGGTCGTACGTCTCGCACTCGCTAGGGTCACTGGTAGACGGGAAGGAGAAGATGCAGCTCTCCGCTGCCGCCTCATTCCTTATAACAGCTACTAGCAGGCACAAGAGACAGAAAAACGACTCCATCTCTCTGGGCATCTTCTGGTGGATGGAGCGCGAGCGCGCGCGCGAGAGAGCTGCGCACGTGATTTATTTACGTAATCCACACAAAAACAACGAAGCGCACATATTACGGTAAAAGAGAGAGGTTTACAACGGGAGGAAGGAAACAGGTAGTGTGCACAAACTGTCCCCGTCGAGTATTTGGGTCGTGGAGGCTTGCTAGTCTCTTGACTCTGGGTGGTACGTTCTCCATTCTCTGGTAAGGGACTTGGGTAGCCACGACAGCCTTTGCAGCGAGGCAGGTGAGGGAGAGCGGAGAGGGAGGGATGAGTAATGGCTCCACGCCGGGGAGCGAGCTGGGTCTCTGGTGCTCCCGGAACACACCTATGGCTCTCTTCAGCGAGGAGTTGACAGCGTCAATGTGTGCGCCGTTGTCTAAAAGTATCTTGAGAAGGTTGGAGTCGGGGTTCGACCTAACAAACAGAAGATGGAGCGGTCGTTGTCCGTTTGAGTCCATGGCGTCGAACGCACAGGCGAGCCTTGCCCAGGACAACAGGGCCTTTTGAATGAACTGCTTGTACTCCAGTCTCTTGTCAGCCTTCACCCACTCGGTTGTCTTTGTGGACACCTCCACCAGTGAGTAACAGAGGACAAAAGAAGCTCGCTCCAGGAGCTGCTGACCAAGTTCAGCAATCTCGCACTGAACCGATGCGTTTTCTGCTAGGGTGTAGTTCTCGTGAGCAAAGTAGGCCCACGTACACAGCACTAGGAAGGCGGTCTGCGCGAGGTAGTTGCAGAACTCGGCCAGACGGTCCCTGCGAAACTGCGAGTCGTTCTCCCCGCCCCCGGCCACCTCTCCGATCAGAACAAGAGCGTCGAGATACAGTCGGACGTAGCGGGAGAACTCGGGGACGTAACTGCAGCGGATCATGTACGATATTTCGCTCTGGGGCTGGTTGGTGGAGACAGAGAGATCGATGGGGTACCTCTTTGAGCTGAGACACACTAGGAGAAGCTCCAAGCCTCGCAGGTAGAATCTCTCTGCCAGTCGAAGCTGCCCGCTGTAGCAGAGGCTTGAGGCACTGGACCAGAGAAACTCCACCACGTGTGGGTTACCCAGCCCGAAGATCCGCTCCTGTATAATCGCCAGTTGATACTGAAGATCTTCACGGCCAACGTTTGTTATTGACCCACCGGGATGACCGTCCAGTAGCTCTCTCGCTCGTTCCCACGTTGCCACTTCCTCCCGATCGCCATACGCACTGGTGCTGGGAAGAAATTCGACTTCGATGTTTTTCTGTTCTCGGATCTGAAACGCTCGTCGCCAGAACTTTGCGATAGTATCGACGTCGGTGCAGTGGGTGCTGAGGCCAAGGAGGGCGTCGGCTATTAACGCAGGGTGACAGGTTTCGAAACGACACACCACGCACTCCACAAATTCCCGTTTGTTCTCCTGAGCTGCGTGGAGTACAGCTGGGAGTAGGGTGTACCTGGCTGCATGTGGCACGTCAAACAGCAGCGACACTGCCTTCTGACGGTCGCTCTGCACCAACAGTGAGAGGAGTTTACAGCTCTCGTCCGGCGGAAGAACAGATATAATGTGGAACACGGTGGCTCCGTCTGCTGTAGTCACTCCAATATCTGCCCCCCTACCCATCAATAGCTGTACTGTCTCCAACTGGCTGTGAAACGGAACACCTTTCAGGCAGTCCATGAGCGGGGTGATCCCGTGTAGATTCGATGCGTTTACCTTTGCTCCGCACGATAGTAAGTACTTTACGGCCTTGTCCCTCCTGAAGTAGGCCGCCCAGTGTAGGGGTGTTCTGTCCAGCTCATCTCTCCACTCGACTGAGGCCCCGGCTCCTATCAAGATCTTCAGGACCTCGATGTTGCCCGTGGAAGCGGCCCAGTGGAGAGCTATAGCCGGCGGACTGTGTCGGTGCCACGCCTTTCCCTGTCGACAGCAGTTGGGCAGTTCCTTCGGCTTGGTTCTCAGGACGGGCTCAACTGGAGAGCCCGCGGAGACTATGTCAGAAAAGTTCTCCACGAAGTAGCGTACGACTTCCGTGTGGCCGCCCACCGAGGCTCGCACAACGGCCCAGCACCGAGCTATGGGCAGTAGTCCGTTGGAGGAGGCGTCATCCGATCCGTCGCTTTGTAGGAGAAACGCTTCCGAGGACGCCAGGGCTTTCTGCACGGTGGCCTTGAGGTTGCGTAGATTGCCTCTCTCGGCGTGGGCCGTGAGGTTGACTCTGTTGTTGTGGATGACGAGCTTCGGCAGCGACTTCTCTCCGCGCTGAAACGGCCACATTTTCACACACACTCCACAGACCACGCCCTCCCTGAATTAGAGGTTCTAAGGTCAAACAACAGCTGACGCTGCAAACCTGTTGTTACTAAATTTAGAAGGCTCCCCCATAATCCCCATAAGTGTAGAGTCTCGGGCAGAGTTCGTTTTCCGGGTGAAAAGCCTGTAAACCGACGATGGACTTCGTGCAGAAGATGAGGAGAGCTCTCCAGCGCGGCAGATCCGCCACGCTACCTTCAGGTAAGCTGTCTGTACGCTAGAAGCTTCCAATGCAGCTATTTGTCGTGCTACAGATGACGAAGAGGCCGTTAACGTTCTGCTACCGTACGCCATGCAGAACCAATTCCGGTAAACACTTCAGCCGCTATTATCGTGAAGTGAGCCAGGGGTAGCCACACCTCCCTTTTTGTGCAATTAGTTCAGCTGTAAGGTACAGTGTTGGCCATGTCCTTAATCATTGATGTGTTAGGAAACTTAGCACGCCAAAAACAAATATACACACCTTTACACTAGTCTTATCTTTTAGGTGATTCTGCCCCGACAATTGGTGTGCAGTGGCTTCGCTAGTTATTTTCTCGCAACACTAATCACTCTCTCTCTTTCTCTCTTACTGATCCACAGTCCTCTGAACGAACTGCTCTCCAGCTCAACTTTCAACATTGACTATCAGTTTGGTCGTGCCAGGAGGACACTACTGCACTCTGCCGCAAAGTGAGTCTTGTTCTCCTAACACATTACCACATGTGTAAATTTTGTAGTTTGTAGACCTGAAACACGGTCTAAAAACATTGTCTTGTTCCCTGCCATCGTTCAAAAAAACTATCAAGAATGTGTTCATGAACCTCCTTATACTGCTTATCACAGTGTCCTCATTTGTAGCATGACTCTGCTGCACATAATCACATAAGTACGGTAGTACTTAGTACGTATATAGGGATGACACAGGTTGTCCTGCATTATGCCCATACATTTGGGATTTGTACGTTTCACTTTCATTATAGTACTGGATCAGCTGACTCTGTGGGTGTTCTGCTGAAGAGAGGAGCCAACGTGAACCTGCAGGACAAGATCGGAGTAACTGCTCTCCACCTGGCTGCAAGAAATGGGTGAGAATACGAACGTACTTACCGACGAGGATAATTACGAGGAGTGGTTGACTGCAGGCACAAGAGATGTGTTCAGAAACTGGTGGAGGCTGGAGCTGACATCAGGCAACACGACAACGAAGGCCTCACTGCTGTGAGTCAGTTTTGTGAGATGAGAACAAACAAATTCATGGGGTCATAAGGGTGGGGGGGGGGCACACCTACACAAAATTTCAGTTCCCCTATGAGTAGTAAATCTATGTAGAGTCCCTCTTCTCTGTATCTGTAGTTACACTGGATGGCATGCAATGGACGTACGGAGCTGCTGATAGCCATTCTACAGAGAGGAGAGCATGTCGACGTGACGGTCAGTTTATTACCGCCTCTAGCTGCGTCTAATGGAATCTATTGCTGACTTGCAGGACGCTAATGGACACACGGCTCTTCACGTTTCCTGTCAGAACGGACACTACAAAGTTTAACACACACACTCTCTCTCTCTCTCTCTCTCTCTCTCACACACACACACACACCACAATCGTGGCATACACTACAAATAAGGGTAGCCCTACTATTATAGTGAGCCCTGAAAAACTCATACTCAACATGTTGTCATACTATAAGTCTTCTCAATAGCATCTCTATAGGAAAGATGCCACTCAATGACTAACTCTTCCTCTCTCACGTACTAAATCCCCTGTCACAGTGTGTTCTTCAACTGTTGGGGCACAAGGCAGATTTCAATAAGACCAGTCTCAGTGGAGGAAATCCAGTCTACTTTGCTTGCAAGTCAGTTCAACCAAACATTGGTTCACATCCTACGTATATACATGTATGTATATGTGCTGACGAAACATCTCCAGACATGGACAGGTGAGGTGTCTGCAGATCTTGCTAGAGAGGGGAGCTGTGGTGGCAGCTGAGAAGTCTGGAGTCACTCCTCTACAACTGTGTGCTCAGGTACGTTCGTAACACCACCACCCATTTGTAACTCTCCTCCTCTCTCCTCCAGAGTGGATATTCAGAGTGTGTCCAGCTGATCCTACAGTACCACCCGAAGCAGGTTGACCAGGTCGTCAGACTCGCCATGCTGGAGACTGTCCCAGAGCCAAAGATGTTGGGCCTACTGCAGGACCTCTGCAGGTCCAGCACCGAGCTCCTGGTGGCTGTAGTCAGCAAGATGGCCGAAGCTACTACAACGGCTGGCCAGGAACTGCTCAGGTTCGCCATACAAAATTTGACAACTCATATCGGGAAAACTTCAGGAGTGAAAACTTTTGTTCCAAATAGCAGCAATGATTGCTTAAAAATGGTCCCCACCCACCATAATTTTGTGCGGAAAGCGTGGATCTGAAGCCACCTCTTCTAACATTATCTATATAGACATTATGGCATTGAGTTCTGTATAGACCCTTTCATTTCTGGGTTACACACCTACAATAGAAAGCAATAGCAGTGAAGGGGGCTTGAAGGTATGTGAATGAAGGGGGCTTGAAGGTGAGTCTGGCGTGAGTATTATACCTATTGAGATATAGGGTGTATTTTGCAACACATATTTGCTTCCTCCTCAGTTCAAGCAGTAGCTACTCTGACCTGATGCCGCAGTTCCTGAGAGCCGTCCGTGCACTCTGCAACCTCTACTACCTCTATCAACAGGCTCTCCAACGAAGCGAGATTACGCTCGTTAATCCCGGGGCTCGCTCGGTCCCGACAAGTCCAGCCATCACATCGATGCCTGGTTCGAACGTCCAGCGTGCTGGGAGCTTCGGGTCTCTCCTGGACGGTAGCACCCACCCACGGACCCAGACCGTACCGGCAGGTACCACTGCGGTCCAACCACCGACAAGAAGAGGCCACCGTCGCACGCATTCACAGACGCTACCGCCTGATGAAACCGCGAGGGCGCTACATGACGATGGATCTCCGAATGGCAGTGCCACCACGGGAGGAGGGGGAGGAGGGAGAGGGGTTCGAAGGCTTGTTGTTGAAGATCCGTTCATAGGACTGGAGGCTGTGTGGTCTTCCCTGGAGTCTTGGTTCGATCTCATTCTGGCTGAAGTGGAGAAGACAACTAGGGACTCTGCTGGCACCGTGGAGAGAGGCAGAGAACTTTTGAGGAGGAGAATGGGGAGCATTGATGCAACGAGTGGTGCGAAAACGGACGAAAACACGGCTGAAACTGACGCTGAACGTTTGGTGGGTTTGAGCAGTGGAGAGGGAGAGGAGAGAGCGACAGTGGCGGTGAATCATGAGACCACACCCCCAACTGTCAAGGAGGGGGAGGGAGGGGCGAGTAAGAGCAGAAAAGGTCTAAAACTGAGTGTGCCTCAGTCCAACCAGGTTGCCGCTGCTATCGTCAAAACCACTCCCATTGAACGAAGAATGGCCTACCTCGGGTGAGCCAGGCTAACATACTATAATACATGTATACCACAATTTTCGAGGCAAAACATTTTGCAGATAAGCAAATTTTTTGTATCATTAAAACAATTTGGATTACTCATACCTAGTTAACTTTCTGTGATCCTACCGTGCATACCACTTTGTTCCATTTGGTGCCCACCAGGTCCAGCAGAAGTGTAAACGAGGTATCTCTCTCGACTTCGTCTGACGCGGCGCTGAAGAGACGAAGTTGGCACGTTGACCGAATCACGGCTCGCGTGTTCTCCATCAACCCTTCTTCTCCCATTCTGCCTCCGTCTTCCCTCGCCAGGAGCCACTCTACTGACGCTACCTTCAACCACAGTCAGTCACACACCAAGAAGATTTTAGAGAGCACGTGTTGGAATTTAAATTACGTTTAGACGTCGCGATAACTAATGCTCAACCATTAATAGGACACTTTCTCTCTCTCTCTTCAGTCGTAATTACTGTTCACACTTTATTACCACCAACAGGGGTGGACGTGGTGAAGGAGGAGGTGGGAGGAGAGGAGGAGGAGGAGGGGAGGGAAGGGGACGGAGGACATTGTGGGAGTGTATGCAGAGCGGCTGAGTGCCATGACTCACGCCTTTGCTCTCTGCTGTCACACTCTCCAAGATTCAACTGGGAGGTGAGACTGACATTACGTCTATTGCTCGAGCCGTGTTAATAATCTTCGAAAATTGAGAGAGAGTTGTCCTGGGGGATAGTTCTGTTGGCTTTGCCTTTGACCTCTACTCTTTACATGAGGGTGCATTAGCGGACCATTTGGCACATTCCACTGACTCTGCAGCAATGAAAATTGCAGGTGTAACTACTATATAGGTAGTGATGTTGAATTTTCTTCTCTTCCACCAGTTCTGGGCTTCTCCCGAGGTTCTCAGAGTTCATTGACAAATATGAGACTGTGCTCAAGATTCTCCTGGCCAGGTATGTATGTGGGACTTTGTATTACATCGGTGTTGCTTTACCTCCACTTTTAAGTCCAAGCTCCCTATGAAAGAATCAAGCATTTGAAGGTGTTACACAAGACGGTACAGTGGAACCTGCTTAATACGAACCACTTTGAAATCACCAGGCATTATATAACACGGATACAACTAGCTACTGTTATAGTGAAATTCCTTTTAATATGAACATGGTCCCCTGGAGTTCATGTCTGTTTCTATAGGGCTCCTCAACTTTAAAACTTTTGACTTTTGCAAATCACTTAAAAAACAATTCTTGGTAAACCTCATCGCGTGTTTTTAGTTATGCTATGTTTCATGATTGTTAATACACCACACAGGGATCCTCAGTTGATATTTGCCCACTTTCATTTCCTCTTGGAGACGGAGGGCCTTCTTCTGAGGTTCATGCACATCATCCACGCTCAGCCGTTTGAGAGCCGCAAGAACTGGTTCTACGAGAACCTCCACGGAGACCGTCCCCCCGCCAACGAACTCTCTCTGGCCAGAGAGGACGGAGTTATTGAGGTTGACAGAGGTAAGGAGGGAGAGAGGGGGTGGGGTGGTGGGTTAATGTGAGCGTCTTTTGAGACCTATGTAAAATTACGCTCTATGAGCCTGCAACAATGACACAAGTGGCCATTCATTCATCTCTCCTTGGGCTGTATAATTGGTGCTCATTGGACGTAGGAATGGGGCGATGGAATATGCAACTGCTATATACAGTTGCACAAATATATTCGTAAGCTCATTTGCTTGCCAATTATGCTGCGTTATGAAAGTCATGTGCAACTCTCTCACTCCAGACAACATCTTCAACTCGTCGTGTTGCAAGATTTCCGAGTCCTCCGCCAGTGCCCTGAAGGAAAACCTGACCATTCGGTTCGCCGGAGAGGCCGGCATGGTACGTACCGCAGACCACTGTGGTCCTCACTACCAAACAACTCCTGTTGCTTTCCCTTCCTTCAATTACAACAGGGTTCCGGAGTGAAACGAGAATGGTTTGACAATCTCTCTCGAGAGGTACTGAATCCTGACTACGCCCTGTTTACCCAGTCTGCTGATGGTATGTATTGCTAACAGAATTGTAGCCACATAACAATAAGTTCACCAATAGCAGGCCCAGGGTGTTCGAAGTGTAGTCAACACACACAAACATTCTCTACCACTGCCTTAAAGCCAGAAAGCTGGGATTTGCCCTCCTTTTTATACCCCTGGCTCCCCCTCGTTTGCTAAAGTATGAGAAAAGTGTACTAAAGTGCAAAGAACAAGCCCAAAGGCAGTTCTGCTGTCATGTGATACTCATGTGATTGTCACGTGATTCCCAGGAGCTACATTCCAGCCCAACAGTCACTCGGACATCAACCCTGACCACCTCAGCTACTTCCGTTTCGCGGGGAGGATGATGGCCCTGGCCGTCTACCACAGGCAGCTACTCAGCGTCTATTTCACTCGATCCTTCTACAAACACATTCTCGGTGAGATCGTCATGAGGGGGAAAATTTTAATCTGATGTTTTAATAATGTTGACCTGAAAGATGGTTTGTTTCGAAAAGTTGCAGAAAAAGTTGAACATAACTACTGTAATAAAATTGGGCTTGAAATCCTAGGTGAGCTTTTTAATCAACCATCAGCAAGGTTAAGTTCTTCTCATGGAACAATAGAATGTTTTTAAGAAAAAAGCTGGCAGTGGTGGGATTCGAACCCACGCCATCGAAATGACTGGTGCCTAAAACCAGCGCCTTAGACCGCTCGGCCACACTACCACTTGCACTTTTAGCGCCTTGAGCGCCAGACGTTGTCTAGCAACGAAGTGTTGTCCTGAGTGTAGCTCAATTAGTTTGCCTTAAAACATCGTTTTCATGATGATTTTTGCATGTCCGTGTACCTTGTTAGCATCGGAGACGGAAATGGAGCTTCCTCCTGGCTTTAGTTCAATGACTTCATTCTTCCCGAACATGTCGGTGTCAAGGGAAAAGGTGAGTTCGAGACAGAGTGGATCTATCTCATTGTCCAACAACCACTGTTGGTGAGAGAGACAAGCAGAGGGTTAACCAAGCAGAGATTGTGGGAGGGAGGGGGGAGAGAGAAGGAAACAAAGGACAGAGAGAGAGGGGGAGAGTGGTTACCTGTAGGTTGTTGGCGTATTCCGGATCGATTGATTCAACATCTCTGTAGCTCACTGGAATACCTGTGTAGGGATATATACACTAGTGACCATGCAAGAGCACAGTGGAGCCACATCGTAAAGTGGTAGTGTGGCCGAGCGGTCTAAGGCGCTGGTTTTAGGCACCAGTCATTTCGATGGCGTGGGTTCGAATCCCACCACTGCCAGCTTTTTTGCCATTTTCAGCTCATTTATCTGCATATTCCTTACAACAGAAGTAAGCAGTCTTTTATGGCACATTCTGGCCTATAGACGAAAGCTGTACAAAGGACATTATAAATGTGTAGTGCTAAGGACGTAGATGGATATAGATGAACCTGTGCATTGCCCGTGAGAGCTGGACAACACAACGTGAAATCTCTATCTCTCTTCCAAACCCAGCTCTGCCCGGTCTAACTGCCGGCAGTCTTTTATACTAGGCTCCACATGTGGTATGGTTACAGAAAAATCGAAAAATGAGTACGGATAATTAGAGTACATTCATTATAAATGTGTACCCAAACAAAGGTTTACCAAATTACTTGATGCACATACTGTAAGCTGCTGTTGTTGTTGTTGTTGTTGTTGCAGCAAGAGTATGTTCAGCTGGTGACCGAGATGAGGATGACACAAGCCATTGGACCGCAGATCAGGAGTTTCATGGCGGGTTTCCACGAGATTATTCCCCACTCACTCATCTCTCTCTTTGACGAGTATGAACTGGTGGGTCACTATCGAACTTTGCCATCTCTCTACTTTTAGTGGGTATATAGCCGAACCAATTCCATGCAGTGGGCACTCCAAATAAGACAGTTGTTTCAATCAAATGTGAATACTTTAGTCAACTTTTGCATTTCAATCTTAGGACAAAAAGGTCATAAGGTCAACACCCGAATGTGCCTTTCTTATGAGGTTTCACTATATGTGACCCGCTCTGGGAAAAGGTACCACTTGGCGCAAAAATTTTAAATTGCGTTACACGTATCGTTCGAAAGCGCAACGCACGCTGCATAAAATGAAGAAAACCGCACCTTCGTAGCTGCTTCCGTTTGAGCGCTATACGCAATAATGCACGCACCCTTCTGCGTGCGTTATTTCGAGATATTGTGCCAATTTTAGGGATGACCTTTGGTCTATAAAAGTGTTGATGTCTTGACTAAAGAGTTAATGGTACAATATGCAGGAGTTGCTGATCTCGGGACTGCCAGATATTGACGTGGACGACTGGAAAAGTAACACGGACTACTCCGGATCCTACACTTCCGACAGCCCTGTCATCTCCGTGAGTTCACAGTAGCAATATTCTCAGTCGATTAGAGAGAGACTCATTTTCCTTCCATCAATATACAGTGGTTCTGGGAGATTGTTCAGAGCTACGACAAGAAAGACTTGGCCATTCTACTACAGTTTGCCACCGGCTGGTATGTTTGCCACTATTACTGCTAGGATGTGAGGGAGAACAGTAGAACTCTTTAGACATAATTATGGGAGGATCTGTGAATGCTCACCATCTTCAAAATTATCACATACTTTACGGAACAAGATTTGAACCTGTACTTACAGTATTGGTTACGTACAAGCTGACAACTAATACGTTCTCTCCACGAAATTCCTTGAACTTGCAAACACTTTTCCCCCTATCTTTATTATGGTGCTGTTTTTTTCCACCAGTTCCCGAGTGCCCCTGGGTGGATTTGCCAATCTAGTGGGTGCCACTGGACTCACTAAATTCACCATCTCCAGTGTCGCCTACTCTCCCAACAAACTACCCACTGCTAGCACATGGTAAGCCGGTCCACGCAGCGTAGTGAAACCTGACTGAAGGAATAAAGGACACCTCTCTATAAGGTTGATACCTCCGAATAAGAAGCACCTCTGATCAAAAAGGACACTCGATGTTCCGTGCCTTATTCAGAGGTTTTACGAAATGGTAGACTTTCCAACTGAGTGACTGTGCTTGTCTTTCAGCTTACTATACTAGATACTTATCATAATGGATGCTCACTTTAAACACCAACATTTCGATTTAGTGTGCACTACTTAATGCATTTCACGCGCACTAATAGCACGTTCTGCGGTGTTAGTGTTGGGAGCCTTAATGCAAATTTTTTCCTCGCTATCATGGATGGTTCTCTCTGATTTCAGTTTCAATCTCCTGAAGCTGCCAGAGTACCCCACCAGGGAGACTCTGCAGGACAGACTCTACGTGGCCCTCACGTGCGGCAGTGGACTCCTCGACTTCACATGAGCCACACACACCATTGGTGACTTTTACTCACGTGATTTGACCAACCATAGGGTCCAATTTTTACTCTTGTGGTGTAATTAATTAATTAGAACGTGTGGATAACTTTCACTCGAGTGTGATTTTGAAATTATTGATGACCGAGTACCAACCAGTCTTAGTTTTACTCATGTGGCAAAGTGTGATTTCGATGATTAGAGATGACCACTTATGAACCTGAAAAGGGCATAATGCTGCAGAAGCATTGCATATCACACACTATATACTATAATATATAGGAGATGTTGACTGGCCTAGTCTTGGGTCTGTCTATGTACGTGTGAACACCTCAGGCAAAGCTGGTCTTGGCTGTCGGCAGTCCACAGCCAGCATCGAGGACACTTATACTTTCCCATCTCCTCCGCCCGCCATGCCCCCACGCTCACCTGGCACCGCTCCCCTCCCCACACAACCTCCCCGTCCTCACAAAACACCCTCCCCACCCCACTCCCCACACCTCCACCCCCCAGTTCCACAGTCGCCCGAGACACGATAAAAACAGCGCTCAGTCCGTATCCATCCCTCTCCCTCTCTTCTTCCTCACTGCTACTGTACTTCTCCAGAAGGTGGTACAGTTGCTCGGAGTCTGTTGTGATACCAACTTGTGCCTCTGTGAAGCTGCGCAAAGAGCTGGCATCGCGAGCACTCGAGAGGGCCTTGTACACCAGTGACCTGAGAGAACGGATTGCATCAAAGTCAGCCGCCAGAGTCGGCTGGTTCCATTCTGACGGGCAGTCCATCCAGCCACTCTTGAACACACTACCTGTGGACAGATCACACATTAACATGTATAATATACAGTGGGTTGCAACGGATTTAAACCGAGATTTTGTAGCGTGCGTTCCGAATAACAGATGTGTGCAGGCAGTGAAATTACAAAAGAAGCAACGGCAAAGGCTCGTGTTTGTGTAAAATTGTACTCCTCGCCATTATGGAGTTAGAGTAATGTAAGCGCGAAAAAACTGGCACGGGTAGCTAGTATGTGTACAGGTGGATGTAGTGCATTACAGCATGTATATAATATACCTCCAGGGAAGTCATGGTGGAGCACCACCTCTTCTGCGAGGTGCGGCAGAACAGGGGCCACTGACTTCACCAGTCCCAAAAGGAGATGGTGGATTGCTGACAGCGTTCCAAGTCTCACTCGTCCCCTGGCCGGGTCACAGTACAAACTGTCCTTCACTATGTTGCAGTAGAAAGCCGAGAGGTCGAGTGGTACGAGGGTCACTAGGAGCAGAGATAGACGGGAGAAATTTAGAGATTCGTAGGCTCCAGTCGCCTCCTGGCAGTAGTTGGATAGAATGTGGAGCATGTATTGGTCAAGAGCGGACATTGCATTGTGTGGCACCAGGTCTAGTGTGGGGTTAAAGTCAGATAGGTTCCCCAACATGAAGCGAAACAGGTTCCGCAATCGCTGGACGAAATCGCTCGATTGTTGGAGTATCTCGTCGCTGACAGAGACGTGAGAGGTGAAAGAGCTCGAGGCAACCCACCAACGCATCGCTTCGACTCCAAACTTTTTCCCGTCGATGATGTCACTCGGACTCACCACGTTTCCAATAGACTTTGACATTTTGGCTCCGGAACCGTCTAGAACAAAACCATGAGTCACAAGACGGCGGTAGGGGGCCTGGTTCTGTATGGCCACTGAAGTGAGGAGGGAAGATTGGAACCAGCCGCGGTGCTGGTCAACTCCTTCCAGGTACATGTCTGCAACCCGGCCGCATTGTCCCGAGTCAGTTCCGGAATCAGACAGAACGGCTGCCCACGAGGACCCGCTGTCAAACCAGACATCCATCGTGTCCTCCCCGCGACGCCAGTCCTCCGTCTGACCCGAAAACGAGGGGGGCAAAAGTTTATCGAGGGGTAGTTCCCACCAGCAATTTGAACCCTTGGCTCGTATCATTTCCCTCGCGTGTACCACAGTCTCTTCTGTCAGGAGTGGTTCGTCGGTAGTGACGTGATAGAAAATTGGGAGGGGCACCCCCCAGACTCTCTGTCTTGATATGCACCAGTCACCGCGTGTGTCCAGCATCTTTGGTAGCTGGTTTCCACTGGATCGGGGGTGTACCGTAACTCCACGTAGTGCTGCCTTTGCCTCTTCTTTGAGTTGTTTAACACTAGCAAACCACTGCTTTGTCGAGCGAATAATGACCGGTTTCTTAGTCCGCCAGTCGTACGGGTATCTGTGGGTGTAGCTCTCCCGTTTGAGAAGCACTTTGCTGGATCGGAGCCCCTCAATTACAGCTTCGTTACCCTCACTCAATACTCGAAGGCCTACCAGATGAGAGGGGGCTTCTGCAGTATAGCAACCGTTACCGTCTACAACACACGTCATATCAAGCCCCGCTTCCACCCCAATTTCGTGATCCTCGAACCCGTGGGTAGGGGCAGTGTGAACTAGCCCTGTACCTTCTTCTTCATCCACGTGCTCTCCATGCACAAACCTCATCTGCTGTCTCTGGGGAGAAATTGGGTGTGCATAGGTGAGGTTGGCCAGTTGGGATCCACTGAGGGTGGAAACAACTTCAAACTCTCCCAGAATTGGAGCCAGTCTGTTTACGTTCTTCTCTCCTAGTAACACTAGTCGGTCCCGCCCGTCGGTGTGCCTCATTCTCACCACGCAGTAGGAGTGATTGGAGTGGTAGGAGACGGCCTGGTTGGCCACCAGTGTCCACGGCGTGGTGGTCCACACCAGCGCCCAGAGAGTTTGATTTCTGTCAGCTTCGGGCAATAGGGAGCTGATTTCGGACGTGAGGGGAAACAGAATGTACACGGCCTGACTCACGTGGTCGCGATACTCGAGCTCAGCCTCGGCGAGAGCTGTACGAGAAGAAGGGGACCAGTAGACAGGCTTGTAGCCGCGATAAATACACCCTCTCTTGTACATCTGATGGAACACGTCTATCTGTGCAGCTTCGTATTCTGGGTCCATGGTCAGGTAGGGATTGTTCCAATCCGCCAGGCAGCCCCACCTCTGGAAGGCTTCTTTCTGGAGAGCGACCGTCTTGCGGGCGTATTTCTCGGCCTTCGCGCGGATCTCCAGCGGGGATTGCAGGTCATCGCTCCGACAGGCTTTCAGTTCTATGGGAAGACCGTGGCAGTCCCAGCCGGGCCTGAAAGCTAGTTTATAGCCGCGCATGAGTTTGTAGCGGTTGATGACGTCCTTCAGTACTCGGTTGAGGACATGGCCCATGTGGGGAGCGCCGTTGGCGTACGGAGGGCCGTCGTGAAGGGTAAAGATCTTGTCATTTCCCCGCTGCTGTCGCTCCTGCCAGCCGTAAAGATCGTCGAATTTGGCCGCCTTTTGGATGGCAGGCTCGTGGGTGACGGGGTTGGTCCTCACCGGGAACCTCGTCTTTGGGACCAGCACCCGATACTGAGCAGGCATCTTCCCTCTTTTCTGCGTGTGTCTTCACCGCGTTGCTACACGACACGTGGGTACCGGACAATTAGAGAGAAACTTTGAAATGCGATAAAGTTTCGTTGATCATCGTAAACAATCAGCCTAGGGAACCGAGAAAGAAATGGGTAGGAAGTTTCTAGACCATCCAGGAGGCAGTAGGATCTACTCTTGTGCCAATTGCGACACTCCTCTCACTAATCGCGGAGAACTCGTGTCCACGGTCAGTGAAACTCCGCCATTTTAGCTATATATACCTGACGTCCTCTACCACACTATCAGAGATTCACAGGAGCGACGGGAAGGGCGTTTCTTTTCAACAAAGTGTGAGTGTCTCACATGTTGGTGGACCCACTTACAGTACACCAGCTTATATATATACTTCCGTGCAGAGTAAACCTGTGCTTCAGTGAAACTGAAAACAGAATAATGGTGGGCGGAGCTTACAATAGCTCTATTGTATTGCCTGTGTGTACTTTGTGTATGTTACAGTTGACTGGCAGACATGTAGTAAGAGATGTGACCTGCAAGAACTGCGAAACAAGACTTGGATGGATTTATGTAAAGTTTTCAACCACTCTATAGGGTTTGTAATTATAAGCTCACCAACGTTTCATTTCAGGAATACGCCACCGAGGAATCACAGAGGTACAAGGTACGTGCGATGTTACGATGTAAGTAGCGATGTTGGTATTTGGATCAAAGCCGTGAGTCATTCTGCTGTGGCTTGATTCACAGTGTTTAGTTGCTGTTGACCTTGCTTTTTGAAAAGAGTTAATGTGTTTTTGCTTTTGCTGCAGGAAGGTAGAGTTATACTCGAGCGAGCACTCATTACTGAGAGTGATGGATTTGATGAAGGGCAATGAACAAAACCACGCATGACACTAGTGACACACACATCACCACTGAAGAGTTTAATATCATCATGAACATGACTACACCACAGACCATCCATACTTTCTCTTTCATTTCACGACTCTCCCTTTCATTTTACATCAGAGTATCTGACTATACAAACCAGAGCTGAAAACAATTGTGAAATAATAGAGCCTAATTCGATCCTCTCATAGATAGACACATGATAATTATTTACAAGTGTAGACTGAATTCATGGCACTAGAAAGACTGCACTAAAAAGGGGCATCACTGTGTTGGTGGCCATATGATGAGAAAAGTGAAAGTGGTCCAGACAATGGATCTACAATGCAAGAGCTGATGCTACAGCGTGCCTGAGTGGTCTGTATAAATGAACATTGTACTGATAGCTATATAAGTAGATATATATAGTCCAGGGATAAGGAAGGAACATTGTCAAACAGCTATATAGCCCCAAAACAATAGAACCACATTAGATTTTTAGTTGGGAATGGCCTCTGTATAAAAAAAAAAATTTTTACCCTAAGTTTCACGATAAAACCATGTTGCATGCAACTTTGTTGAGTGACATAAAGTCGCATTGTGTATCATGGCGTCAAGTATATGGAGCTGCCCTCAGGTCAATATCTGAATTGTGATCAAAATGAATTTTGGCTTGTTTGTTGAAGGCGGGACTTCTACATATGTGGGTGTAATCAGGTTAGCCACCATTCATTGTAGTCCTGCTAGATGGTTAGGTGCAGAGTGCACTAGTCTTACTATAGTAGTCTGTAGAGTTCAGAGTCCCATGGAACATTTACTCCTGAGTTAGCCAGTCTTATTTTTTGTCGGGAGGCCATGCCATCACCAGTAGTTCAGAGTTCTGTTGACACAAAGCCATGCCCCTACCTTGGCTATATATCATCGTAACCCCCAGCACTTCTGACGGTCCAGGGGCATGTTTTATTACCTGAAAGCTACAGATAGACTCTGGGTGAGTTTGCATTACGATGTCAGCCACTGTTGCATGGGTACATAAATCTCCAGGGTAGTCAGTGCAGACACTCCAGCATAAACCACAGCTATACAGCGATACTACACCTATAATAAATCAGCGGCAACAAAACGAGTGTATCCTTGACTGGCCGAAATTACCGGCACATGTTGGGTAGGGATGATACATTTTCTCTTTGTGGTTGCGGCAGTGGTTCAGAAAACACGCTCAAGCACGTGGATTCTTTCCGCAGTTGCGTGTGCCGCGCGTTGCATGCAGCATGGGATGGGGCGGACGGACGCCGACACCCTTTTTACTTACAAAAAATACACAGAATTCCCCGAATTTGCGCATTATCGCCAGCGCACGAACTTCCAGGAATTATGAATAACATAACTGAAGAATGCTGCTGTTATACCCCGGCTAAAGATGCACAGCTACTGCGCATCCGCATAACACCAAGGTTTCTGGGTATTTAGTCAGCTGTTTTTAGCTCCTGGCCGCAGTTGATGAGTTACGGCTAAGTCTAGAGCTGTAAGCTAGCGAATTCCAGTACAATTATATAGAGCATACTTCGTTGTATTAGACATTAGCGCAATAAAATGCGAGGAGACTTAGAACAATAGCTAGCTACTGCTCCGCCCTCTGTGTTGCAAGCTGCAGAGATGACAGACGGTGAACGGCCTCGCTCAGAGGGGAATGCTTCAGAATATGACACAGGTCAGGCTCCGGTGCTAGTACTGCAGCTAGTTATAGCCCATTGGGCCCTTTTCCTGCTTTCCTGTGGTTGATATTATTGTCTGTAGCCCAGTCTTGGAATTTACGTGGTTTGGTGGAAGAGCGAAGCGTGTAAAGCAACTACCTGCTTTTGGCCTAGGTCAACAGTGAAAACCGAGGAAGAAGAAAGAGCCAGCGGGTCTTAGGCTCGGTGGTGACCATCTCACCTATAGGCTCTGAGTTTACCAATTAAAATTCTATCCCGTTAGCAATTATCGTGGTAGTTTTTTTATATCTGGCTGACGACCAACAATGGACTCAACAATGGACTCAATATCCTATAACACCGAACGTCCACTCCGACATAATACGCTCACTTCACAAATTGCGGTATCTCGTTCTATAGACTTCGAGTGCGAGGAAGAGGAGGTTGGAGGTGTTCAGTCAGATGGCAGTTCATTCAGCGAGGGTGGCCAGGGTAGTGGTGGTGTGGCGGGGAGAAAGAGGCTGCGTAGTGAGGCAGCAACAGCAGCAGCTAACATCAACCTCACAGAGACGTCTTCTTCTCAAGATGCCAAGTGCAAGCAAGCCAGCAACCTGCACAACGAGAGGGAGAAAGAGAGGTGAGTCACTGTTTTTTAATCTGGGGAGGGTAAGGAAAACCAGCTAAACAGTCTGTGAGATTGTGGTAGATACCCAAAAGAACAGCAATTAATTGTAGTCGCTTCAGCTGCCTAGCTTGCTGAGGCGCTCTCTGTACATTGAAAGTAGTTGAGTGGCGCTGCCACCATTTTTGTTAGGACACAGCTTTGGGTGTGTCCACCTTTGACCACATGATTGGGTTTCGTGGAACTGGTGTCCTAAATGCTCAGCCTGGGACTTATCAGCGTTTCCTCTTTCACCATTCTTTGTCCCGTGAATTGCAGGAGAAAAGACCTGAAGCAGGCGGTCCATAGGCTCAGAAACCAGCTCCAGCTGCACCAGACAAAAAAGGCCACCACAATCAGTGTTCTAAAGGCCTCAGAGCTGGAGATCAAGGTAGTAAATGATCTGGTGGTGGTCTAGGATCAGTTCTGCCTGCCAATGACCAGCTCATGTTTTTCCCAAAACTTGTTAGCATGATAAAAATTTTCTATGTGAAGGTTAACTACCTTCCATTACATAGCAAGTGGGTATATCCACACCTAGCTGTAATAGACTCAGTAATTATTGGGGTCCACACAATTATATTGGGTAGCACAGAGTATTATTATTCTGATATCAACACACAATTGGTAAGAAAATTACACAATTTTGAAAAATGGCAAATCCTGTTTAATCAATAAGTTTGATAGACTTGATAGCCCTCCAGCAATATCTGGTGTATCATAACACAGCGTGATGAGCATTCTTGAAATTTCCCTCGGGGACGCAAAACTCTGCCTCTGCAAGGGACTCCCGTGTTTTGTCCAGTTAGGGGGTGGCAGACTGTGACTGACCAAAACTAACACAGCTCTGTGTATTTGAGTGTTTAGAAAACAGGGGAAGGCAGAATCAGCGTGGAAAGGCCCACACATACTGTCTGAACACACACAGGAAATATGGGGACTGCCTCTGACTTTACGAAAATCCCATGCATCATTGAGAGTAGGTACGTAAACTAGAAAAGGTATGTTTTGTTTTTAGTTGCACAATGCAATTTAAACAACAGAGCGAGAGGCAAAGTTGCAGATTGAGTATTTCCCTTCGTTGAGGTGTGGTGTATGCTCCTTTGTTTGTCTGCTTATTTTGTTTGATGGGGAAAGATGACCGTTTTCGGTTTTTATTACCCTATCGAATTACAGGAGAACCCCCCCTTGCTTGTGCTTCAACTGCAAAACCCACAATATTGGTATATATATACCGAGTTTGAAGAACTAGAATTGAAAATTTGTACGTAGGCTATAGTGTATACCATTGTGTTAGTGTATAAGTATTATCTCTCTTGCTATCTCCTTATGAGTGCTGGTTCGTGGAATGTACTGAACTTACGGTAAAGGGAGTAGAGTGTGCCTGAGCTGTGTATACTGTGTCACCCCTGAATAATGATATCCCTTTTGGAACAATCCCTCTGTGGCTGCCGATAAGCTCTCCAGTTTCCTGCAGAATTCCTAATATACTTCTGATTCTTCTACCGCCTGAATCCACCACTAGCATGAGCTTGCAAATATCTATCTGGAGAATGAGAACTTCAGTGGACTGAAAATTTCTTTTGCCGGGTAGCTTGATAAGTATGGTGTCGGTTTGGGGAGTTTTTTGGGACAGTTTTCCTAGGGGTTGTGGTGTATCCCTAGAGTGCTAGGGTGGCCACACACGATAGCCAGTTCAAAGGGTGCCACCGCGGCTAGTTCAAAAGAAATGCCGCGGGGAGTCTAAAGAACGCGAGTGCCTTGATCGGGTGTAAGGGTATGGCTGGAGGAAACACGTTTCAGTGTGGCATGTGCCCTGCAAGGCCAATATATGACTCTCTGGTATTTTTAAGATCACGCATGAGATTCTAACAACTGCAAAGAAGCAACTCTAAACCCAGTATAATATATACCACGTTTTCCAAAGCTTTTCTGAGCACCCACAACACTCTGCTCACACTGTTTCTACTAAGTATCAGTGCAGCTCAGCAGGCAGAGCTTTAATCTACAATACAACACAAAAATTCATTGACAAACACCTGCAGCATTACATAGCCCTATGTGCTTGAATAGAAAGTAGCCACTGCTTGTAATACACAGGATTTGTGCACACTGTGACCAAGGTGTGAAGGTTAAAGAAGTTGAGTTGAGTCTTGTGTTTCCCAGGATCTTCTGAAGATGGAGGAGACCCAGGATAGACAGCTGACAGAACTGCAGACGCAGCAAAAGCACCTCATCTGGAAACTGGAGGGTCTAATGTAAGTCAGTCAGACAGCCAGCACACGAGCATTTGGACTAGAGCATTTCGACTTAATCTTACCAACGTTCTGTTGTACTCCACCTTCTACTAGAATGTTTTGTCAGTGGTCTCTGTATGAATAAGAGAAATAGCTACATAAATAACTATCTGGAAAAGAGGGGTGGGAAAGAACAGTTAAGGTGTGTGGGACGGGAGCATAGGGAAAGGTGTGTGGGACAGGAGCGTGGGACTATAATAGTGGACTCTTTCTGTGTCCATATCCTGTGTCCTTATCCGCTGTGGTCTCACTAAAAAAAAACCCGGGTACAAGCTAAAACCATGCAGAAGGGTGGCGTGAGTGTGTGAGATAGTTCTCAGGGAATCCTGCTGGGCAGACCGCTCAA